GATCGAAGAAAGCAAGGAGGCAAGGGCAACCCGCGATTGGCCAAAGGAGAAGAGTAGGAGCGACGGGCGGGGCTACGCTAGGGGGAAGAAAGAAACGAGCGACTAGAGGAAAGACTCCAAGACCATTAAGGTTTTTTCATTTTTGGCGATCTTGGCCTCTCGCCAATTATTTTTTTTTCCAGTTTTAACTAAAAGACGACGTCGTTTTCCTTACTGTATGTCTACCGCCGGTACGGAATTTGGAAGACAAACAGCCTACAGTATCGCCCTAGGTCTGGTTTCCAATTTTTTCGGTTGAACCGGCCAATACGATCTGGTTTCCTAGTCCATGCAAAATACCCTACTAGTAAAGTTTCTGGTATAACTACCTGTACAATTTCATTATCATTTTGCTTTAAAATTTAAATAAATTAATATGTAAATCAAATTTAAAAATTCTCAGAAAATATTGTAATATGTTATATAAACCCAAAAATTAAAGAAGGGTCCTTCCTAAAAACATATTATGCTACTCTTTTTTTAAATACATTCGGTTAATAATCAAAGTGAAAACCCAATCTCCGTAGAGGTAGAGTTTTTATTTTATTAGGACTTAGGGAGATGCTGGGGGAGTCTCTTTTTAGTTATATTTTTTCTATCAATTTTTTATACTTTCAATATGACAAAATTATCCTTCCTACAATTACTTAGAGGGCTGGACATTCTGAATATAAATGTGAATATTGTGAAGTAATGATGAGAAGGGTGGAAGTACCAAACCCACTAGAAATTCCAATCAACCGAAGTTTTTCATTGTGTTGCAGACAAGTCAAAGTGAACCTCTCTCCTTGAGATCTTCGCATTAACTTTAATTGGAGGCAAATTGACTGATCTATAAATGATAGACGCCGAGTATATGTTTATTCGATTGAAGGTCAAGTACATCATCAATTTGATAACCTGTTACTTACTCTAGAGAATTAATCAGAATTTGCTCAACTCTACATCTTTGACATTGCAATGAACTCCAAAACCAGTTAAATTTGTATCCATTGATTCAACTTCAAATCCTTTATAAGATACAATTTTTTAATAATTGCCGAAAGTAATATCTTAGTAAAGACATTTCCATCTACAAGGAATAGATCGACTTATTATATAAAAAATTATGGTCATTATTTTTATTTAGGAAAAGTAGTTTTGTGAAATATGGAAAAGCCAAATTTGAAAAGTCAATATATAGATGTCAATAGATTTTTGTTACTTTATAATTATGTTTTTTGAATGTTTTGCGACATAATTAATTTAGTTTATTTAGGACTATAATTTTGTTAAATTATATTACAAAACTAAATCACATAGCATTGCAACTTTGACAGCTAGACCAAGTGGTAATGAAAACACCACCAAAACCAAGATAAATTTTCAGCAACTTGTGTTTGTATCGATGAAATTAAAGCATTTCTAGACTGTCATTACATTACATAAGGTGAGACATAATGGAGACTTTTTAAGTTTGATGTTAGTTGTAATTAACTTCAGATGTTTCAATGGCTTGAGTGCTAAGAAATCCTTCTTGGAGCATACGCTAAGAGTTTTGTGGCTCCTATCTACTTTTATTTATCTCATTTTATGATCTCTTTTTCGTTTCTTTTATTTCATATGCTCTTTCTTTCTTTTTTACTTTTTTTCTTTGGGGTGGGGGGGGGGGGTGGAGAGCTACTGGAGAGTACAACACATGCCACTTATCCTTAAACGAACAATGCTCTCCATGAGAACTTTCCTCCAACACTACATCATTTCTAGCAAGAACAGTGCAAGACCACCTATGAGTCACACTTCAACACGAAGTTGGGTGGGGGGGGGGGGTGGAGAGCTACTGGAGAGTACAACACATGCCACTTATCCTTAAACGAACAATGCTCTCCATGAGAACTTTCCTCCAACACTACATCATTTCTAGCAAGAACCGTGCAAGACCACCTATGAGTCACACTTCAACACGATGAAGGGATGAGGGGTCGTTCTTTCAATCACCATTAAGCTCAACAAACACGAAGCTCCTAACATTAGAACGACCCCCAAAGTCACACGACTCAAAGGGGTTGACTAGGGGATAAGATGTTTTGGGACAAACAACTTTTGGGAGTGGACTAATCATATGCCTCCATCATACTCACTAGTAGTACATTGTAGTGTTACAACGTGATAAAGAGTGATACAGAAGAAAGATCTTCAAATTTTTGTATTTTGCTTTTTTGTTTAGACGGGACTTGCCTAAACAGACGGTATGGTTGTCAATACCTTAACGTTTATACTTGAATCCAGCAAATAACATCAATACCTTAACCTTGACAACCCATATCTCGTCCCCCAAATTATATTAGATTTACGATTAGACGTTAAGTAATGCATGCTACTTGAATCCCACCTCATTGTTTCAATTTATTTCAATAAACCATACTTATTTTGTCAATAATTTTTATATTTCACTATAAATTTTTATAGTTCATTATGAATTTTGAAAACAAATCAATTTAAATGTTCCACAACCATGAATATAAGTGAACCAAAAATAATAATTTGTACAATCAATACATATCCTTATCCTTACTTAATATTATAGCTATTCCAAAAAAATAGTGCCACGTAAGCTCATGAAGAGCTCTCAGCCCCTCACCCATTATTGGATTAAAAAAATTATTTTTAATTCCCTTCTAAAATTGGATACTTGGGTGACTGATAGACCGTCATTTACACATGTTTTTACCCTCATCCTTACACCGTTTGAGGTGTTGATTCTCGTGTTTTAGGCCGATTTCACGCTAGGTTGTGCTTGTTTGTGTTATTTCAGGTCCTAGTACGTGAATGAAGGCGTAGGAGCGAGTCTGGGGTCGATTGGACGAAGAACGGACGAAGGGCGAGCTTTTTGGGGAGTGCACGGGCAGACCAGGAGGCTGCACGGCCGTGCACTTGAGCCATTTGGCCGTGCACCTCATGTCGAGGCCATGCACGGCCAGACCCTGAAGATTGCACGGCCGTGCGCCTGGCCGTGCAAGGTGGATGAAGGCCGAATAATTGATACGGTGCGTTTTGAGGGTGCACGGCCAGAATGGTGTTGTGCACGGCCGTGCACCTGGCCGTGCAACTCGGGAAAGTCGGTTTTAAAGCCTAATTCGAGCCAAAAGTGGGAGAATGGTGTTTTCAGAGCAAAAACAGAGCCCTAGAGAGAGAAAGTGCGAAGAACTCATCCTAGAAGCCGTCTTAGAGCTGGATTTCGTCGAATCGAGCTTGGAGATCATCATAGGAGTGGAAATCATCGTCCCGGAGCAGATTATCCTCATCGTTATGAGTATGACTAATCCGATTCTTGTTTTCTCTTCTCTCTCTATGGAGTAGAACCCTTCTCTCACTTGGGTATGAAGAACCCTAGTTCCTTGTGTTAGGGATTTGATTGTAATGACTTGGGATGATATTACTGTTTGATTTTAATCGAATGACGCATGTTTAATGAATTGATTTGAGTCTGATCAGCTTTTCTCAATTTCTGCTTCAACCTGAGATAGATAGAATCTGATTAGGTTATTAGAGCCTCTTCATTCGATAGTAGGAGATTGGTTATACGAGAGTTAGCCAGTTTACTGCTTTGTACTGGTGTTCTTGACGCCAGTAGTGGAGTTCTGTGTTCATAGCCTCAGCTTTCTATCCCGGTGAAGACTAGTCGTCTGCCGGGTAGTTAGACTGAGAGGGCTTGGTCAGCTTAAGAGATTCCAAGCTACTGTCGGATCTTCCGCAGTCTAATCAACAGTAAATCAACCCAGGGAATTGCAATTGAACCTAACTAAGGGGCTAGGGGGACTCAATCCCGAGTGACTCTTACCTGCTTTAGAAACCCGAACAATTTACTGCTTTCTTGTTGCTTTTACTTTTCACAACAATCACTCGACTTAGTTTGCTAGATAATAGAGAATCACTGAGTAAGCAGTAGATCTAGACCCCGGGTTGATAATTAAACTTGCCTATACTGCAGTCCCTTTCATTGGTTACACTTGGCCATTGTTAGGTGTTGTGTTTTAGCGTGTCAGTGACACTTTGTCTGCATTTGCTGCTCTCCTGAAATGCCCCATTTATTGGGGAAATTTATTTTGCCTCCCACCTTAAGCCTAAGTCGCTTAGTATCCCTTGGCGGTCAGCCGGAAAAGTCTTCATCCTTGCCCAAACTTAAATCACTAGCCACGCTCCCCGGTTGCACGTCCTCTACCTTTCTGAAATTCTCGGCCACGTCAAACATTATAGTCTCCTTGCAATCGTGGTTCAACCCTGAACTCCTCTACATTGCTAAAGATGGGGAAATGAAACTGTACCTACAACAGCTATAGGAGAGATAGCTAATCCAACAACATTGGATTCTTACAAACCATTAAACGACGGCGTCTTAGCTAATTTAGCTGCAAGACGCCAGTGGTATGTTCATACAACGTTTTATGAGTTGGTATTGCCGAAGTTATTCCAACTTACATAATACACATTGATATTTTGGGTTTAAAAAATATTGAATTTGGCTTATTTGAATCCAAAACAGTAGATTTATTTTTTTTCTAATTGTTTTCTTACCTACTGTTCTTTTTTTGTATTTGGCTTAATTTTTTTCTTAATTGAATGAGGAGGTTAGAAAATAGAATAAATTGAGTGTATTGAAATTTACCGTTTTCACAATTCGAATAGTTGTATTTTTGGTTGCTTTCGCTACAACATTTTCAAAGTAGATTACATGAGTAAGCGGAAGAATGATGATGTGGATGACAAAGTGGTTCCTCGCTTCTACAAAATTGCACGGACAATTGATACTGCATGATGTTTGTGGGATTTGGATCGCGGTATGTTCTTTTCCCCTATACCAATATATTAACATTTTTCATACACTTTCTGTAGCATGATTGCTCTTGGTTCGTATGTAGCGAAAACATATTTTCCAGCACAATCAAAGTCAACCAAGTTCTTAGTTACTAGAACAGCAAGAATGAAACGACGGATCATGTTGTCTTCAAAGAAGATGGTTGTACATGCATTCTGGTATCTTAAAGGTAATTTAGAGTAACTTTAATTTTGGAATGTTCTATATTATGGTTTTTGGACTGGATTATTTTAAAAATCTAATTTTCAATCAATATTACAGGTTGCAACGATTCACTAGCTAAGCTAAATGCTAAAGTGAAACGGATGAATAGAAAGATTCAAATAATTTTTCCCAAAAAGGAAAAAATGATCATTGCGATGGAAAAAGGTATATTGTTCATACATATTGACTATCTTTATTATATATAATTGTATATACTTTTTGGTTCTAATTCACGATATCTTTAACCTGCGTAGGTGTTAAGCCTGTTGAATGCTTTTCACTTGGCCCTCCTTTGAGCACATGCCAATATTGTGCAGCTGTTATGTGGAAAGAGGAAAGTACATCTCGATCTCGAAAGTCAGGGTCTTCAAAATTTGGTCTTTGTTGCAAAAAAGGCAAAGTGAAACTTTCCTCCGGCTCGAGAACCACCTGAATTATTAAGAGATTTACTGCAGTCAAACAATGAAGCTGGCAAAGTGATCTACTGTATGGAATGGTAGTGTTCATTGTTACATGTGCAATGGTATTTTTCGAGTTTTATGGAATGGTATTTATTATCATACATAAGGTTGCTACAAACACTAGTTACTAACAATAGCAAAACATAAAAAAGCTATGCCAATACCAATCAAACCAAACATATATACCAATAAAGATATGTATATATACTGAAGCAATAATAAATCATACTCCTACGATGTCTGATGAAGAGCGACGTCAACCATATGCCTACCAACGCAGAACTAATGACACTAATACCATTAAAACACAGGGACAAGCAAAATAATTATTTTAATGGTACTGATACTGAACCAATACCAAACCATGCACATCTTCCAAGTTACAACTATTATGCACTGCATCCAACTCATTTTCAATATTGAATACCAATCCATCAACAAAGATATACACCAATACCACAATGTAAACACTACCAATAAAACATAGCATCACTACCAAAACAATAAGCACCAGAATACCATTCCTACCCTTAGTAGCCGCGGTGATTACTATTTGTAGTATCACCGTAACCGCTCCCATTTACATGTGATAGTTCTTGAAATAATATAATATTTTATGATGTGTTTGTGGAGGTTTAATTCGAAATAGTATTATTAAATTTTGTGAGCATAATTAGGCTCATTTAATTCATTAGATTAAGCATCCACGGAAAACATAAAGGAAGAAAAAGTTTCTAATTACTCTATACTATTTCAGCGATAATAATTAACTTATGCCAATCCATTTCTTATGGCCCTAATTGTCTACATTTGCCGATCAATTAAATATCTCTTCAAGTACATTAATAAGCCCCCACGTAAAACATAAAGGAAAGAAAAAGTTTCTAATTACTCTATACTATTTCAGCGATAATAATTAGCTTATGCCAATCCATTTCTAATGGCCCTAATTGTCTACATTTTCATATCAATTAATTATCTCTTCAAGTACATAAATAAATCCCCAGACAGAGCAAGGGCAACAATTGTAGACCAAAGCGCAAAACATGATTCAAAAATTCGACCATCTGAAGCCCCTTTGGTTCTTGATGAAATTAAAACCTTCCTTGATTGCCGCTATTTAGCAGCTGTTGAAGCCTGCTGGAGAATCTTCAATTTCGATATTCATTATCACTACCCTACAGTCTTAAGAATGAGATTTCATCTTCCAGCTGAGCAATTACTTATATATGAGGAGGACAAGCCCGTAGAAGAGGTACTATCCTCTGAAGTGGCAACAAGGACTATGCTATTAGCATGAATGGAAATGAATATCATGGATCTGGAGGCGAGAAAATACACCTTCCTTCAGTTCCCTCATCTTTATGTTTGGGACCAAAGGACTAGAACATGGAGATGTAGAAATAACAAAACATGCATTGGGAGATTATACTATGCACATCCATCATCGGGTGAGAGGTACTATCTTCGATTACTTTTACATATCGTCAGAGGGTGTAAATTTTTTGAAGAAATTCGAACAGTAAATGGGGTTGTGTATGAGAAATTTAAGGCGGCATGTTATGCAATGGGTTTCTTGGCTAAAGATGACGATGGCACAATTCCTTGAAGGAGGTTTGATAATGGGCTTTAGGAACCAAAATGAGGAGGATTTTTGTCACGATGGTGGCATATTCACAAGTATCCAACATCAAGGAATTGTGGGAGAAAAACTGGGAGTTGCTTAGTGACGATATCCAACACAATCAACGACGCCTACTCAATCGGCCACAACTACGTTTATCAACAGATGAAATAAAAGAGTTGTGTCTCACTGAATTGGACAAGCTATTCCTCAGCATTGGGAAGTCATTCGCAGATATTCCAGGTATGTCGGTCCCCAATTGCAATACGTTTAAAAGATCAAATCGATTAGCATCAGAAGAGTCAAGCTATAGGAGGAATGACATGAGTACAGAATTTGTATTACTTATTACAAAGTCGTCATTTTCCACTATGAGATTTTATATGTGTAGATATCTAGCTAAACATTCCATGTATATTTGTTGAAAGGAATATAAACTTTCATCTACAAACTTCCAAACCTACACTCATACTCTACCCATAATTAATGGGTCTACTTGGATTTAGGTAATATCATTTACTAGCCAAAATTTATTAAAAGAAAAATTCATTGGATATTGAACGCCATATATCTCTTCTCAATCAATATTACTAACAAAATTGCTAACGAAAATTTAATTTTAGACTAATAATACTAACAAAACACCATAGCGGGCCCACATAATACATGCCCATATGTCATATCCGCCTGCGACAATGCGCGGCATCGCCACCTAGTATTATTTAATCTAAATCGTTTGTCTGTAACACTGTTGCTGGCATATCGATGCCGTGACAAGCTGTGCGGCATATAGCAATTACTAGCTAGTTAGGTGTTCACTTCATATGAGGTTTGTTTAATATGGCAATTCATTTCCCTCCACACCATATAGAATATTATTTGCCAGATTTGGATGCAAACATAAATAATTTAGTTATTCGTACCTGGGTTGTTTTCCCAATTGAGCATCAGTAGTTTTACTATATACATATACATGGTCCTGTTAGTGACCGCGTAATATATAAGAGAAAACGACGAGCAACATGTGAAGTTGCGAACCCACCAGATCCAGGCGGTATACTTATATACTACGGCCCATAATTTTCTCTATTTTTTATATTATGTATTCATTCTCTCGCTCCATAATTCTCAATCTCTCAAAATCGTACGAAGATAAATCTAATATTTTGGTTTGAGTGCAAATAGTGATGAGTATGTTCATGAGAATATACATTTGAAAGGAAAATATTTACATAAAAAAACTTATTAATAATTTGGAAGACAAAGATTATGTAAAATAGAAGCTATGATATAATAAATATAATTAAATTATTTATGAATTAACTACCCAGGTCTAAGGTGACAAATTTCTTAATCTTCTCACTCCTATTGAGCTGATAAAAGTTAAGTCCAATACTAATAATATGACATTCAACCCACCAACAACTTTCACATGTCACAACAGTAATACTGCAAAGATAGCAGGACCATGTCCTCTTATGATAAATTATTGGTCTTGCCTAGTGTCGGGAGCCCTTGTCTTCCACATACGTCCAGAAAGCAGAACTATAGAAAGTATACTGATACCACAAGTCTTGGATTTGAGAAACCCACATCCATCAAATGAATCTAGAATCAATGTTATTAATGTTTCAAGCTTAATACAATTTACCTAGTGTCCTTTGAACTAAGTATACATAACACCAAAGAATTGAAACAAGGCACAAATGCATTTTACTTGACCCCTCTCTTGCCAAAATGTGAGCATGCCTTCACATTAAGAAATTCTCTGAGTTGAAAATCCATAATATACAAAACATTGAAACAGAAGACAACATTATCAATCAAGTATATTTGTAGGACAATGGAAAAGACAATAAGTGGCCTTTAAACAACCAAGTAGACATAACACCCTAAAATCCACCTAAGATTAACACACAATATTTTGACCACCATTGGCACAGTAAGTACGTAACTGAAGAAGTTGTTTACTAGAATTTAATTAAATAGAGGTTTGGCTGAATTTGTAAGAGAATATAATAGATCAAGGATGAACATAGGCATAATTCAATTTCGTATGAATAGAAAACCCAGTAGTCTTACCCAATTTCAACAATCAATGCAGTCACTATAGATGTCAGACTTGCTGGGATTCAAAGGAGAAAATGAGTCTCGATCTAGTATCAAGGCATACCAAAGGTAGTTCTTCCCATTTCCCAATCAGAACCCCTCTAACCCCCAATGAGTCTCGATCTAATTGAAACAAATGATGAACAAAGCCGACATACCAAAAATCAACAATTGTAGTGTAAGAAAAAACAAGCATATATTAACGATCAACTTATGCATTCAAGATCCACCTACCCGTGGGCGGACAATATTCCTTAAACCCCTTCACTTTCAGCAATAAAAAATAGGGAACTATAGCGATCAAAGCCAGTGCGGTTTCTTCATGACTGTCGATACAAGAGTACCTGATGGACTGTGATCAATAACACCCAAATTGATGTTATTTCACCTCCATATTCTAGGAGTTTTCATGTCATTCTTTGGTCTTCATGGTCAGTATATTGTTAGTTAATGATAGTTGCATTCTAGCCACCAAAATAGGGTACAAGTGTAGGATTTGGAGCTAAACAGGAAGATCACAATATAAGGGCTAGAGATCACAACCGAGAAAAGAAGCCCGCAAACTTCAACCAAATATCATGGCCTCGGGTAAATGATCACGACCATGATCTTTGAGGGTTCAACTGTGAATTTGGAGAAGAGGCATCCAAGGTGGAATAGAACGTTTAACAGTTTACTCGCAACCCTTCTCATCCGAGACTATGATAAAGATCATGGCCGCGACTTTCGGTCGCGACTGAGAAGTCAGCCCGCGATCTCCCGAGCCAGTAGTTACAAAACGCCGTTGTTTTCATATCTCAGCATCTACCTTGAAGATCATGGATGTAATCTCTGGCCCTTTGGCCGCGAACTTGTCCTTATTTTCGTAAGCCTGTAAACAAAGGTTCCTACCTCAGAATTAGGGGACTTCTTTTAGACACTTGACTTGTAGAGAGAGAAGAAAACTGTTAGAGAGAAAAGCTAGGGCTCCCAGAGAGGAGGAGAAGGGAAGAAGAAGAATAAGAAGAATAAGAGAGAGTCATCCTTTAAGATTGAAGACTAGCCTCTAGCTGGAATTCATGAAGCTAATGTTTCTTTCCTCTCTCTATTGTTTTCTCCTCATCTTTAATGGGGTAATTTCCGTGTACTTTGGGATAAGTAGCCCTAAATCTTTTTATGAATGTCTAGGTTTTGTTTATGAATGAAATAACTTTTTTCTCCATATTTTGTGGTTGCTTGATATTTGATAATGCCATTATCTTACTTTAGTAGAGGTAACTAGTTCATGTTCTTAACATAGGTTAAGGTGACCATCCCCTAGGTTAAGCCAAAAACGCATATCAAGTGAAACATTATTTGAATTATATGACCATTGAGTTGAAGCTTTATTTACCCTTGGGTTTACCGTCATAGGAATCCAACCTAACTGCCATAGTGATTTGTTGGTTGCATGACCATTGAGCTGAGAAACCTAGGAGTTCTCTACGAGTCATGAACATTTCCCTAGATGTGATATTAGATGATTCCATCATCACAAGTGAGGAGAACATTTCATTATACCTTTACCTAACCTAATCTAAGAGCAAGGGGAAGCTCTTCACCAAGTACCTCTCTCTCGATTAAGTATAAGTGTAGCTTAGTTGTTCATTTTAGGTTAGGAACACCTCCAATCAACGATTGGGCTAGATAGTAGTTAAGCCCGAAGTAGTAGTAGATCTGATACCCCAGGGAATACGACCGAACCACTTTACTACACCCCTAACATTGTTATACTTGGCATTATTAGGTACAAGTGAGTGTGCATCGTACAATTTAAAGATCATCAAGTAAATGGGTTATTGTGAAAAGGATGTCGTTACTACTTTATTCATTTGTAATTTCTACAATTTTATTTGGGTAATGTCTATTTTTTATCCAAACCTTTTTTGAATTCTATTTTATTAGCATTATTAGGTACAAGTGAGTGTGCATCGTACAATTTAAAGATCATCAAGTAAATGGGTTATTGTGAAAAGGATGTCGTTACTACTTTATCCATTTGTACTTTCTACAATTTTATTTGGGTAATGTCTATTTTTTATCCAAACCTTTTTTGAATTCTATTTTATTAGCCAAACCTATCGAAAATATTAAGAATTAGCCAAATGTTAACTTTCAGTTAGCAATTTTGTTTATAATATTGACTTGGCAATATGATACTGACTTGGAAGAGACACACGAAGGTCAATATTCCAAAATTTTAGTATTTTAACTAAGAAAAGAGTTACAAAATTATTAACGATAACGTAAAAATGGCTAATATTTTGATGCATTGCGAAAGATTTGGCTAATTAATAGAATTTTAATAGGTTTGGATAATATAAAAGAATCAAAAAATGTTTGGATAAAAAATAGACATTACCCATTTTATTTTCTGTTTTTTATGCACGTTATTTTTCTTGTTGCATTATGGGTGTTACGAAGCTAGTCAAGATATGGAAAGAGAGGTTGGTCGAGAAATGGGCGATTACTCAAGATGTACTGGGTAGTTGCTAGCTAGAAGAGTTTTGATAATTTGGACAAATTTTTTAGGCAAACAAGTCGATATATGGACTCTTTTGAAGCAGAGAAATTGAGAATTTCAACCATTATGGAGAATATGTCAAATTCTTTGGAGTTCGTTACTCAAATTTTGCTTAAGCGAGAAGACGAGGTAGTCTGGTAAAGAAACCATGTTTCTACAAAATCTTAATAACCTAGTTGAAGTTGGGATTTGAAGGACAAGGGTATACAAGTTAAATGACCAGTAGTTACTACAACCCACCCTAGAGGAAGAATCTTGGGTGAGATCATGAAGAAATTAGAGGATATGGGAGTCGAGCGGAGTGCGAATATCAACTACTCCTTTTTAACTTCAAAATTTGTCAAACCACTTATCAAGGAACAAGAGGTAGTCAACCCTACCTCATCCACATCAAATTTTGAAGATTAGCTCATAGAAGTTCCGGCGAATCAACTCCACCTTCTCCACTGCTTTCTGTACCATCTCCGGACCCTCTAGCTGTCGCACGCCCTCTGCATCCCAGTGCAATGGTGTACGACACTTCCTCCCATACAATACCTCATGTGGAGCTGCTTGTATCGAGCTGTGATACTAGTTGTTGTAAGCAAACTCCATTAAAGGCAAATGCTCGTCCCAAGCTCCTTCCATGGTCAAGACACACGCCCTCAACAGGTCTTCCAGTGTCTGAATCGTCCTCTCTGACTGCCCATCTGCCTGACGGTGATATGCGGTAGAGAAGCGAACTTTAGTGCCCATTGCCTTCTGAAGACTCACCCAGAATCATGCCGTGAAGCTAGGGTCGCGATCAGACACGATACTAAGTGGAACTCCATGCAATCTCACTATCTTCCTCACATACAGCCTAGCCAGCTCCTCCAGCCCTGGCTTGAACTTGATGGGTATAAAATGAGCCATCTTCGAGAAGCGATCCACAATCACCCATACGCCATCATTTTCCCCTTGGGGTCCTCGGTAAACCATACACAAAATCCATGGTGATCTTCTCCCAAGTCCACTGCGGGATCTCCAACGGTAGGTGATCAATGACTGGAGCTTGATGTTCAGCCTGATCATTTGGCACTCCAAGCATTGGTAGACATGTGTAAAACGGACGTGTTACAATGGGTTTGGGAAAATAAAACGGACGCTGAGGGCCGCTTGGCCCCGGGTCTGAATTATATAAATTTTTTTATAATAATAAAATAATAATAGATATTATTATTATTATTACTAATCCGCGATTGCAACTTTTAGTACGCAACTGTCAACCCAACCGATCATGTATTATGGTCGAACCATAACCCAAAATTCGGGGTGTTAAAATGGGTTTTCAATAGTATACTGCATTCGAAAATAAAAGGAGAAAGGAGAAAAAGGATAAGCTTGCTAACTGTTCTAGGCCCTCTGATCAGGCCCCTTTTACCCTTGAAGGGCTATTGGGTAGGACATGAGTCTGTAGCAGGCAGAAAACTCTAATCGACTAATCGTCATCGATCTTCTTCGCCATCGCGTTCCAGAATCGCTACCCACAGCCACAACCCTTCTCGTTGTGTCTCTCTCGGCCAGTTGACTTTCCCTCTCCTATCCTGGCTCTTCGCCACTCCGCCTCAGTGCCTCCCCTCCCCGACTCCGCCTCCTCTCTCCGCGACAAAGCCTCTCCCCTCTCCGTTCCTTCGTTCCTTCTTCATCCTTCTGATGTCCCTGCACTCAGTCCCAAATTCGTTGAGAGAGCACCGCCGCCTCTCCCCTCTCCTTCCGCCTTCACCAATCTAATTACTCGTCGGTCATCTCCCCGCCAGCCTGTCGATTTCAACCATTTTTATAAGCTGACTCAATCCACAAAATCTCCTCTTCTCTGTATATAAAATATATATTATATATATGGTTATTTACTTAACTGGTTAATTTGGTTTCATTGTTTAGGAGTGTAAAACCAAACTAAATCATCTATAAATCAAATAAACTAAAATACCAAACCAAACCAAACCAATTATCTAAATTAACAAAAACCAAATTATCAACATACTACCGGTTAAAACGGTTACCATAATAACCACTCCGTTTCAACACCGAAGCCTAAGCCAGTAGACCAGATGCGGGGCTAAACGTTAGACTTCGACTGAAACGACAAACGTCGCAGTTCAGCTTTCGGTGACAACTGACAACACAGTAGAAGGAAGAGGGAGCCTAGAACGAAATTTCTTTCCTCTCTCCTCCGTCCTTCACTACCTTCCCTCAGTGGTCACTGGTCAGCAGCAAAGCGGGCGTCTTGCTTCAGTCCGACTGTCGGAGTAAGTTTCTGTCAAATCTTTATCACGATATCAGCCAACTCTCCTCTTTGGAAACTCTGGAAATATCGACTTGACGAATTTCCTAATCTTCAGTCTTTCATGATCATCCATCGTTAAGGTTTCCATCTTTAACTGCTTCTCCTCTCGTATGCTCGTTTCATTCGGGTTCTTGCCAAATGAGCTGTCAAATTTGTCCTTTCTCTGAGCTTTTCTTTTGGCATTTTATCAACTATTAGCGGCAGCTGCTGCGTCCCTGTTTGATTTGTATGAATTTGGGGTTTATGGGGTTTTAATTCCCGTGAAGGTCTGCCATTCAGATTGTGAAGAGAAAGGAAGAAGCAATGGCTGCCGCTAATAACAACACTCCACCAAAGAGCTTAGGGCAATCCTCATCCCCATTTGGGATCATCAACTCGTCGATTCCTCCAAACCAAGGGTTCTCGCAGCCGCAAGGACATCCCCAAATAGGTTCTGGGTTGCAGAATCAGTTCCAGTTGTCTCAAGCTCAAGCGAATGCACAGGCCCAGTTGAAAGCACAGGCGCAGGCTCACGCAGCTCAATTCCAAGCTGCTCACGCTCAACTCCAGGCGCAAATGCAGGCTCAAGGGTTCGCCATTAATCAGACCCTGAATCCCGGAATGAGCAACTTGGCCGGCGTGAAGCGGCCTCCCTTCCAGAAACCACCTGGCCGACCTCCAGGAATCCCCACCATTGTCTCCCCACTTCCAAAACCCATGAATTCATCACCAGCCGCCGCAGCCGCTCGAAGTAAGATGCAGAAACTTCCAGTGAAACAACAGCTGCCGGAGAGAGTAGCATCTATTCTCACAGAGTCTGCTCTTTACACCCAGCTGCTCGAGTTCGAGTCCCATGTAGATGCTGCTCTTACAAAAAAGAAACTGGACATTCATCAAGCACTTAAGACCCCTCCTTCAGTGCAGAAAACGCTAAGGATCTATGTGTTCAATACATTTGCCAATCAGGTAAAGACAATCCCACAGAAGCCGAATGCCGAACCACCTTCTTGGACACTCAAGATCATTGGGAGGATTTTGGAAGAAGGGGTTAACCCTAACCCGCCTGGAGTAGTTCAGAATTTGAATCCATTATACCCAAAGTTCTCGTCTTTCTTCAAAAGGGTGTCCATTTCCTTGGATCAGAGACTATATCCTGATAATCACGTCATCTTGTGGGAGCAAGCTCGTTCGTCTTCACCTCATGAAGGTTTTGAAGTGAGTAGAAAGGGTGATAAAGAGTTCCTAGCTCATATAGGTTTGGACATGAACTATGTTCCCGAGAAGTTCAAGTTATCTCCAGCTTTGTCTGAAGTTCTGGGGATCGAGGTAGAGAGCCGGCCTAGGGTGATAGCTGGAATCTGGCATTATGTGAAAGCTAAGAAGCTGCATTGCGCAGATGACCCAGCCTTTTTTAACTGCGATCCACCTCTGCAGAAAGTATTTGGGGAGGGGAAAATGAAGTTCACAACTGTTGCACAGAAGATATCTCAGCATTTGTTTGCTCCTAAACCAATACATTTGGAACATCAAGTTAAACTTTCAGGAGTTAGTCCAGTGGGGACTGCCTGCTATGATGTTGTGGTGGACTTTCCACTCCCTATCCAGAGGGAATTGACAGTAATGCTGGCTAATGCTGAGAAGAGCAGGGAGCTTGATGCATGTGATGGGTCGATAACTAATGCCATTAGGAAAATTCATGAGCATCGTAGAAGACGGGCTTTCTTTCTTGGGTTTAGTCAGTCTCCTGTGGAGTTCATCAATGCTCTGATTGAATCCCAAAGCAAAGACTTGAAGCTTGTGGTAGGGGAACCCAGTCGGAGTGCTGAGAAGGAGCAGCGTGCAGATTTCTTCAGCCAGACCTGGTAAGTTGAGAAATGAATCAGTGGGTTTTCCAAGGTTGCTCATATTTGTTTCCTAAACTGGGTTCAGCTTCCACCTACAGTAGGTTGATGTTACGTTTGTCAGGCCAAGTAACTTGCTGTTTTCTGTCTTTTCAACAGGGTTGAAGATGCTGTTATTCAGTACTTAAACCGGAAGCCTGCTGTTGCAAGTGACGCTGCTCGCAGTGTTTAGTTCCAAACTTCTAATCTATCAAATTGTCCGACAGCTAACTCTAGTTTTGTGGATACTTTAACCAAGCATTTAAAGTTCGGATTGGTGCTTATCAACAGCTGTTAAATGTGCTTCTTGTTCTATAACTAAAAAATCATTGTAGCTTGATTTTAGACTGAATCATCCATGTACCTCAGTGAAGGTACGATGGATACCATGGTGTTGTTTGCCCTCTTATTTATGACCAAAATGTTAGCCGAAGTTCATAGCCTGTTTCTGGATACAAATGGCATTAGTTTTTGGATACAAATTAGGTAGGGCTATTAAATGGGTGGTCTTCTTTCAGAAGATGGTAGCCAAGTTATGCGCAAAGCTCGAATCGTTTCGAAAAGAAGGGACAATATAAGCCATGGGTTACAAATCATGTCTTGATCAGCAATTGTTAACATGATCAAAATTCAAATCCTAACTATCAAAATAAACAATTAGCCTATGTCACCTTAGTGTTTTCACTTTTGTTTAATCACAGCATGCTATCAGCTCTGGACGACAGCCTCCTAAAGAAATTACTTGGAACTAAAGGAAACTTGCATCGAAAATTGGGATGCCTTAGCCAAAGCAACCCAGCAACTAGAACCACCATCTTGAATGGCGTAATGTAGAGCGCCACGACCACAACGAAGTAGAACATCACAAACAAAGTCATAGCTTAAAAATGTCTCCAACCTAATAGAACCTTGCGTCGCAATATCTTAGACCAACGTCTGAATCCTCTTGGCAACACTCTTCAATGTATCGTACCTCATCCTCGCCATGTCCTGGGCCTTGGAGGTCTGAAAAGTGTCAAACTCCTCGTCCAGCTTGTCTGGCACAACTGCCTCTACCCATGAAAACTTGGTGTCCATGTGAGGTGGGTTCCAGGGCCGATAGCGATACTGATTCAGGATAGATTGTATGCTTTTATACCATTTGCCTTGTGTCGTATGACTTATTTTGCACCATACTTGGAGCTATTTTATACTAGGTCCGTTCTTATTTTGGCATGTTTCAGACCTTAGTAGGTAAAATGGACGATAGGATCAAAAGTCAGACAAAAGGGATTAAAAAGGGAGCAAAGTGGAGATAAGTACGAGGATCACGGGCTAACAATAATTGTCAAGGCTAGAAACCGTGATGAAAAAAGGGAGAACGTGAAGATCACAAAGTTCCAGGAGCTTTTGTACCGCTCACAGGCATTGAGAGGATCACGATCATCCAAACGGCCAATGGGAATACCATTAGCCGCCCTATTGGTGCTATCTCGCATCTTCAAGCGATGATGCAACCCAAGGATCCGAATACCAAGAACCAACACCTCTCTACAATAAAGAACCATACCCCCAAGGGTATTGATCTCATCCACCATACCGAGAAGCATATCGTTCGTACCACGGATGGAACCCTAGATCACTCCCGAAGCCTAGAGAAAGCTTGTAATTTGAATTGCTGAGCTTCATGATGAAGAGTGAAATAGCTCAATCAACTTTGGAGCCATGGACTACTCCAACTCCCTCACCCGACCTTCAACTGGATCCCAAAGTTTAGCCCCAATGGAGGTAATGCACAAGACAATCAAGTTCTTCTCTTCCTCAAGAGAGTCATCAAGAGGTTGGAGAATCTTTCATTGTTAGTCCTAGGGAGAAGGGAGACTGTTCAAACTGAAACAATGAAGAGGTGCTCCATCCCACACCACCATCAAAGGCCAAAACCACGGCGAACTTAGCCATGTAGCACTTCGGAATAGGGCACGAGTTCGTAGATACTAGTGACCCCAACCTTCCTCCAGGTTGCTTTTACATATGGTTTGAAAGTGAAGCTAAGGAAGAAAGATGCAAGATGGTGGAAAAATAGATGCTTCATTCTCCACCACTACCTACACCCAAAGAGGCGGAGACCAAAGGTACATCTTCAACCCTAGGAGGTCCCAACCCTTATATTCATGACTTTCTCATTGAACAAAAGAGATGCTCAAGAGGTTGGAAAAGGAAGATGAGAGATCTTGAACAAATCACCTCTTTTACATCGTCAATGAAGAGAATGAGGAGGCGGTAGAAGAGAAAGAAGTCTCAAAGGTGCAAAAGCAAGTGGATGCCGAAGACCAATCTAGTGAATAATTTGCTTGGAGTAACATCATACCTCCCAAACAACAAGAATAAATGGATGTAGAAGAGATCAATGATGAGGTTGTGAAGGAGGAAAAGAAAGTGAAGAAGGAGATGAGCTTGGTACTCAACTTGGGGAAGACACGAATGAAGAATAGAGAGGAGGTTAAAGAAGAGGATGAAGATGGTTGGGGGTTAATCCGATTTGGTGTTCGGAATAGACCATTCACTTTAACCATGGAAGTTCACCCGACCTCGAGAGGCTCCTAGCATTGGATCCCTTTGCAAAAAATCTTTGTCTAGACGAGGCCACGTTATCATCAATCCCTCTTGGTGGATCCGATGATGACACTTCGAAGATAGTTAATTTGGTTCAAAGCAAAGCGATGAAAAGTGAAGTGAAGTGAAGTTTAATTGGCAGTTTCTTAAGCAATTGCATCTACGCGAGCCTTCATCAAATGATCGGGGCGAATCAAGACTTAAGACTCCATTTTTGTCGTTTTCTCTCGATAAAACTCGTTTATTCTCTCTTTATTCTGTGTTTGTATGAATTCCTTCTAGATTGACAAAGACCTACACATTAAGTACCATTTTTCCCTCAACTAATTAACCCGTTGTGGTAACAATTCGCGAATCTAACCTAGATTTCCCACATTGAAGACAATGTGTCTCTCAAGTGAGGGGGGGGGGGGTGCATTGTATGCTTTTATATTTCATGATTGTTTGCCAACTCGATTTATCACTTCCCTTGATGAGGCCAAGGTAGGTTCTCGATTGATCAGAATTACACAGCCCTCTCAATTCCAAGGTTGAATTGATCTTCAAACAAGAACACACGAAAACAGAGGTGAGTTTTGGTGTGTCTTGGATGGAAATCTCGTACAGCCTTCAGAAGGGAAAGAGGCTCGATGATTATCAGTCGAAACTTGGCCACGATCAAAGTGTGTAGTTGATCGATACAAGCTATCAAACAACCTAGAATCCACTAGATTGCTTAATCAAACTCATGTAACAAGATGCTAGATGAATCAAACTAGGGTTTGTATTCAATTGAGCAAAAACTGAGTTTACAGACATCTCAGAATCACGACCGTGATGTCATGCTGCGAAATCCACCTCTAGCAAGGAGTAAACGGTGACCATCAAGATCGCAACTTCTCCCCTGAAGATCAAGTCCGTAATCTTATGCCCTTGCCCTTGAACTTGCTTGCGTCCTCATAATTCTATAACCCTCAAGATCCCAGCCTCTCCCCTAATGATCATGGTCGCGATCTTCTACCTCGTGCTTGTGAACTTGCCCGTATCTGCAGAATTCTATAAATATGGGACTCCTCCCTTTGAGTAGATTGGCTTTTGGCAGAAAATTAGAAGCTTGGAGAAGAAGAGGAGAGCTTTGGATGAGGATTTCCAGCACTTGAAGACCCTTCTTCATGTTTTCTTCCCATCTTTGTATGTCTCTTCTCCCCCTGTTCATGGGGTAATCCCTCAAGGTACTTTGGGGCTTAAACCCCACAAACCCTAGATATAGGTTTTGAATGTAGATGTAATTGTGTTAGTGTTTATGAATGAATATATTTGTTTTAGTGAATATATACTTCATTTATGCTTGATTATGCTTGGGTAAGCAGCCCAACTCTGCTGTACAATCCTACAACTGAGTTAACACTAGGTGGGGATTTTAGGGTTAGACTGGCTAATGCCAAATGGTTAATTAAGGGTAGATAAATGATCTTAGGATTCCTTAGTGGACGTGGCGACCAGACCCCTGCTATAGGAATGCCCTCCTAAGACAATGCAAGAAAGGTCGCACACTTTCTGATCGAAGCACCAATCTAGTATGCATGATAGGTTTAACCTATTGATAGGAACTATAAGAGCAACCCTGACATGTAAACTTAGAATGAGGTGACATTAGGTCTTTGTGGGTCATGTTAGGAAGAGGGGAAGTAATTATTGAAATCCTCATATTAGAGAGTTTCACATCCTATCCTATAACCCAACACAGTTAGCCATTTTAATGATATGCCTAGGTTTAGGGCGACACAGTCACCCCGAGTAGCTCTTCTCTTCTATCAATCTTTAATTCAGAATCGCTAACTGTCCACCTGCTAAGTAACAGGTTGACTACATAATGATCAAGCCTAAGTAGCTTAGATACTGTGACCCTTTGGAATACAATCGATCCACTTTACTACACCTCTAGCTAGGTTATGCTTGGCCTTGTTAGGATTGACTAGTGAGTACGCTACAATTTTAGAAATTTAAAGCTCAGTCGAAGCAACGATCAAGTTTTTGGCATCATTGCCAGGGAGTTACGGTAACTAGTTGAAAGACTTAGGTCGCAATTCCGAGATGTCACAACGTCGGTCTTTATCACGGGCACAGATGAAGAGAACCGCGAGTCGACTTTCGAATCCTCCCTTGGTGGCTACTCCTGAAGTTTGCGCCATTGGCTCCAGAGTTTGTGTTCGTAATCTTAGCACTGAAGGTTGCAAACTTGGTGCTCTAGTTCACGCCCTCACTTCATGGTCGTGAGCATATCACACAGCCTATAACTTGAAAAGAATACTTGAAAAGACAACGGATCGATCTTGTAAGGATTGGTCCACTAAACTCGATGATGCTCTGTGAGCATATCACACAGCCTATAAGAAGCCCATGGGTACATCACCCTATAGGTTTGTCTATAGCAAAGCGTGTCACCTTCCAGTAGAGCTAGAGCACAAAACGTTTTGGCCATTAAGTTGCATAATATGTAGACATGACAATTGGGTCAGGTTAGGTAATTTCAGCTTGGGATCCAAAGGCCCGACCCTGAGGATGTGCTGACAGGCCTCCCAGCACAGAGCCTCCAAAAAAATAGAGGTCTCCACCAAGTATGAGACCCGGTAATATGGGCTTTAATATGGCACTGGACTTCTCCTAATATAAAAATTTTGATTTTATTAGCTATTGTTTATATAATGATGGGCCATCAAACACTCATCAGTAGCCCACTCAACAAAGAAATGCACGGGCCAAAAGGAGATATAGTTTTTTTTAATTATAACTATTTTGTTTGTTATGCTTTTTTCTTTTGAATTTTTGATAACAAAAATAAGCAAAAAAATTATGCAGGCAGTAAACCAATCCATACCATACCCAATCCTCTTTTTTCCTTATTTTTATCTTCTTTTACTTGATTAGAGTTCCACAATTATATACTTGGCAATGATAAACTAATAAGTAATAAGCAATTGTATCACAAACTCTAATCCTTTAAGCCAACAATGGTAAAATGAAAATATAATTTAATAATTCGTATAGATAAATAGTCTTTTCATAAAAATTTCTTTCGTAATATTATTTTCGACCTTTATCCATCTCTCATCTTTGACTCAATTGAGTTCCCATAACTTATTCAATTGGGTCCAATTAATTTATTGATTTGTTAATTACCCACTTTTTGGATTATTTTGTTTGATATTTTCTCTTAATTAGCAAAAATGTGATTCATATATAAGAATTGATTTCCTGAATAATACAAAAATGATGAATTGATACATATTTTTTCAAAAAATGTTCG